GAAAGTAGAAATTGCCAGAATGCAAGATGATCCAGAAATTTCAGAGAAACTCTAAATTTCAGTGTATAATAGAGAGCATAGCTCACTAACGGACCTCTGAAAGTCAAGGGACAAAAAGTTAAGTTTTCCCAGATGGTGATCTGGGCTTGGGACATCCTGAGAGCTGAATAAGTTACTAAATGCTTAAAAAAATACTAAATGCTTATAAGCTGTAGGCATTTTGGAAAGTGAAACTGTAACCCAGGAAGAAATTAAAAGGTTTTTATAAGAACTGTTCACTAGAATTCGAAGTAATCCTGGGCTTTCTTTGTCTTTAAAAACTTAATAACCTGACCTCCAACTTCTCTCCTACCCCCAAATTATCTATACAGATGAGTCATCTTTTGAACGCTTACTTTTATTCCATTAACATGTTTGTCTGTCTTTATCCTTTGTCTGGCAAAGTGGCAGGAGGGCTAGAAGTTTTAGGTACAGAGAATGCAGCCAATCATATTGTTCAGTTTATAGTCAATAATCACTGTTGTTCTATATGAGAATCCATCCTTTTGTATTCCCTTCAGCTGTAGCCTGTGATTTCACCAATCTTCCAGTCCCATGACAACCAGTTTAATATCTTTTCTATGTTGTTAAATATGCATACCTTTGTTATAAAATACACATCACTGTTTTATACATGGCATTTTAATTTAAATGGCATGCTGTAAAACTTTTCTTATCATTCCAGTTATCTCTGAGATCTTTACATGTTCAATATACACATTTTCTTTTTAGTTCAATATAGTATTCTATGGTATGGGTCCACCACATTTAACTTAGGAATCTTTTTTTGCTTAAGAGTGGCTAAATCTCTCCAACTCATTCTGATCAAAATCTCACATGTTCTTTTAAGAACCTGTGTAATAATTTCTCTGGGCCACAGGGCATCTCTAAACAATTTCATAAATATTCCCAGATTGTTTTCTGGATATCTGTTAGTTGTACAAGCATTACTTGGTCCTCTTCCTGCATCTTACCAATGCCTGGTAATAGTCTGCATTTTACTTGTTCTATTTTGATAGTAAGGTGTTACCTCCTTGCTTTAATTCTACTTTCTCTAATAGTAAGATGAAGCTCCCATGATATTCTTGCTATCTACTCAGTATTCAGCTTTTCTGAATTGCTTCTTTGTATTCTTTGCCCATTTCTAATGGTTTTCTCTTTTCTTTGTGGAAATTGAATTTTCTTTTATGTTCTAGATAATTTTTGCTTGGTTTAGGACATATGAAAACTCCTGCCAATCTGTCATTTGCCTTTTGATTCTGAAGCTTTTCTTGACCAGAAATTCTTCATTTGGATGTAGTCGCATCCTTCACATTTTTGAGGTAGCTTTACCCATTGCACCCTAGGTCACACACACAGTCTCCTGTTAGCTGTGTCTGTGTGCTCAGTCGCTTCAGTCGTGTCCAAATCTTTGTGACCCCATGGACTGTAGCCCTCCAGTCTCCTCTGTCCACAGGATTCTCCAGGCAAGAGCACTGGAGTGGGTTGCCATGCCCTCCTCCAGGGGATCTTCCCAAGCCAAGGATCAAACCTGCAACTCCTACGTTGCAGGCAGATTCTTTTACCGCTGAGCCACTGGGGAAGCCCCCTGTTAACTTTTGAGGCTTAAAATTCATACTTACATCTTTAATCTGTCTGGATTTGAGAGAGAGATTTTTGTACACAGTGTAAGAAATCAATCCGCCCCATTTTTTCCTGGATAGTGAGCCAGTTTTTATGACACTGTCTACCAAGTCATCTATCCTGTCCTCACTGACTTGTGATGCCATCCTTATCACATATAAGGCTGCTGCTTACTCGCTCAGCAGTGTCCAACCCTTTGTGACGCCATGGATTGTTGTTCACCAGGTTCCTCTGTCCATGGGATTTTTCAGGCAGGATTACTGGAGTGGGCTGCCTTTTCCTTCTCAAGGGACATATAAGGTATCTACACAGATAAGTCATCTTCTGAACTTGTTCTTTTATTCCATTAATGTATTTTTCTGTTCTGTGTTAGTCCCATATTCTTCCTATTAGTTTCCTAGGGAGTATTTATACTTGGGAGGTATTCCCATTGGTTCTTTTGTCTAAAATCAGTTACCTATCCATGGAATGGATTCTTCCACTGATGTTTGTACTGTGTTGTAATACTTCTACTTTATACTTTAAAACTGAGCCTCCTCCTGTTTTGGTTCTTTTATTAAAACTATTCAACATAACACAGTTAAGGCCAATATTCAAAGTCTCATAAATAACTATTATGACCATAACAAATATACATGACCTAATAGATGTGTGCAAAAGTGAATTGTTTTATGAACTAAATTAAGTGGCTATGATTAAATAGTGTTCACTGTTTTATAATGATTACTCATTTATGAATGATATGGGGAAAGACTATGTTTTTAAAAGAACTGCTTAAAACACAACCAAGTTTATACAAGTGTTATTAATTCAGTCAAATAAACTTTCTCCATAAGGAAAAAAACTCAATAGAATACAAATATGAAGTCTGTAAGTGCATAAACTTTTAAGATTGCCATGCTTCAGATTAACTGACCTCTTTATCATTATTAAACAAACTTACATATATAGCATATAGGTATGGTCTCTTGATTTTTTTCATTCCTTTGTTTAAATCCAAATTTTGTATGAGAGAAAATGTCTTTTTTTTTTTGCTTTCATTTTTGAAAGGGTTTTGCTGGGCATGAACTCTCTGGTTGACAGGTTTTTGTTTTCTTTTAATACATTAAAGATTTTCCTTTTTTTTTTTTTTTTCGCTTGCAATGTTCCAGTGAAGAATCTGATGTTACATGTACAGCATCTTTTTTCCCCTCTGGCTGATTCTACAGTTTTCTCTGTATCACTGACTTTGAGCAGTTTGACAATGATGTCTTGGTGTGATTCTCTTCATGTTTCCTATGCTTCACTTCACTGGACTTCTTGGATCTGTGTGTTTATAAGTGTTCATTGGGCTTGGACATTTTTTGGCCATTATTTCTTTAAGTATTTTCCTCTCTGGTCCTTCTTTCTCCATTTCTCATCTCTTTTCAGAGATTCTAGTCGCCCATATATTAAGCCATTTGAAGCTGGAAAATCTTCTAACATTTTTATCCCTCTTATGGGACTTAAATTAATGGATGGTAATACTTCTCTTTGAATCCTGACTGTTCTAACTTTTGCATTACATACTCTATTTTTCCCTCCGGTTCTCCAGCCAGCTTTCCTGTGTTACTGTGTTGTCCTTGTCTTTGGCATACAATGTTTCTATACATGTGAACTATTAGGTTGAAATATTGTATTTCCAAACCAATTTTCACCACTAGATTCCATCTTTCAGGGCAATGTTTTATTTATTGTTTAGACAATATCACTCATGTGTGTCTTTAAAGTGTTCCTCTGTATTCATACATTTTCTAATAACTTCAGTAGCGTTTTAAGATCTAGAATGATAAAGGTAACAGAAACCCATGCTAGTTCTCCCTCGAAAATTAACCTTTTTAATAAAAAAAATTCCTAGCAGTTAATCCATTTTTATTTAGATTTCTTTATTACCAAAAAAGCTAGAAAATTATCTTTTGTCAAACTGGGGGGTCATAAGTTTGATAAAGTCTATAGTGATTAAGATACTGGAAAGTAATGATGTGCTCATGCAATATAAGAACTTGAGTGTGGTGTGGATATACATGAAAAATAGGACTCCTTTTCATTTCTAAGAATCCATGCCTAGACTACATTTCAAGAAATTAATAAAGATGTGTATATATGATTATTCTTAAGTGTTCTCAGAAATAACAAAATAAAGAGAACTCAAATATCCAAATAGAGCACTGGTCCAATCAATAATAATCCTGTCCTGCAGTAAAATATTAGATATTAATACAATGGATAGACCAGGTTCATATTTACTCACAGAGAGACCCTCCCCCAGTTTTGGTGCTCAAAGGAAAAGTATTTAAAGTCTAATTACTTTCAGAGATTGCTGTATCTCTAGAGAGAAATTTTAAAGGACCTTTTTGAAAGTAAAACTTTAATCCTTGCTTAGAATCTCACGTGGCTGCTTTTAGAGTCTTTAAATGTTTCTGTTTTGGTGATTACAGTGGCAACGAATCATTTTTCAGTTACAAAAAGAAGTATTTCAAGTTTAAAGAAATTTTTCATTGGATATATGTTGATCACTTAAATTATTCTTGTCCTTGGAGAACACTTCTCTCTCGTTCCTCTCCTGGCAAACGCCAGCTTCTCATCCCACCCCTCCAGAGTCCCCAGTCACTGAGCCCTTCTCTCCCTGCTACCCCACTAGCAATCTTATGTGTTGTGATGTCTGGCTTTAATTTTATTTTTCTCCCACTGTCTTCCCATTAGCATGCCAACCAGCATTGGTGGATTATCATGCCCTTTATGAATCTATGAGTACCTTCAGGCAGAACCCTCACCAAGCAAAGTATCAAGGACTTTCTGCTTTTGTTCAGTGTTATGAATGTGAGGACTGCAGCATGGCGTTTAGCTGCAGCTCACAACTTGCTGAACACCAGCGAATTCACCAGGTAGAAAAAGACCACAGATACGATGAAGAGACAAAGGCCTTTAGGCACCGTGCATCATTTACAAGGCTCCAACGAATCGATACTCTGGATAAACACCTTGAATGTGACCAATGTGGTAAAACCTTTAACAGAGCTTCAAAATTCATTCAACATCAGAGCACACACAGCGGGCTGAAACCACACAAGTGTGATGTGTGTCAGAAGGCCTTCCAGTTTCTTTCATCCCTGATTACGCATCAGAGATTTCACACTGGCAAGACACCACAACTGACTCAGCGTCAAAGAACTCCTACACAGAAGAAGCTCTTTGTCTGTACATTTTGTGGAAGGATCTTTCACAGCTTCTCAGAAAAAATCCAACACCAAAAAACTCATACGAGAAAGAAATATTACACATGTAATCACTGCAAAAAGGACTTCAACCCATATTCACAGTTTCTCTTACATCAGAGAGTTCACTCTGGAGAGAGACCCTACAAATGTAATGATTGTGAAAAATCATTTAAAAGCCAATCGAACCTTAACAAACATCAGAAAATTCATACTGGAGAGAAGCCCTTTTCATGTAGTGAATGTGAGAAGGCCTTTACCCAGCTCATAGATCTTAAGCGTCATAAACAAATCCACACTGGGGAGAAACTTTACGTCTGTGATAACTGTAAAAAGACCTTTGTCCGTTTCTCGGATCTAACGCGACATCAAAGAACCCATACTGGAGAGAGACCCTACAAGTGTAATGTTTGTGAAAAAACCTTTAAACATCAGTCAAATGTTATTAGACACCAGAAAAGTCATTCTGAAGAGAGGCCAGAGACACTAGAGAGGCCCTTTCCATGTGATGGATGTGAAAAGACCTTTCGCTATTACTCTGACCTTAACCGACATAAAAAAATTCATACTGAAGAGAAACCTTATAAATGCAGTGAATGTCAAAAGGCTTTTAACCATAGTTCAAATCTTAGTAAGCATATGAAGATCCATACTGGAGAGAAGTCCTTTGTATGTGATCAATGTGGAAAAGCATTCAGTCTAAATTCGAAACTGTCTCGACATCTGCAAACTCATGATAAAAAGAAACATTGACTGTAGAAGAGGCAGGGGGGCATTTAGAAATCACTTACCTTTTACTAGAAATCGAAAATCTAAACCAAAGAGATCAACGTGGAAAGGGTGTTAGCCAAAGTCCAGTTCTTCTGCATGAATTCATCCTGTGTGGAACATTTTAGAAATTTAAATGTTGAAGAAATGGGGAGATGTGATCAGAGACGTGTTTTCTGTATTTCATTGACTCAGTTCTTTGAGCAAAAGCAGCTAAACGTGCCCAAGCAAAACTTGAACCTGAAAATGGCAGTTCCTATGATGGGAAATACTCATAGGAAGCTTGAGGGTGGAGTAAAAAGAACAGACTCATTTTGCTGATTGTTCATTATCTATTTTCACTGGATGACTAAAATCCTAGTTTTAACAGAGGTGGCCCTCTATTTTGTATGGAGGGGATACAACTCTGATCTAGGCATAAGTAAGGACCACAAAAGCCATTTCTTTGGAATTAAAACTTCAGAGAAGGAGAAACTTTGCCAGTGGACAATGAAAAACAAAAGGTGGGTCACAATTTAAAAACCTAAAAGAGAAAGAGTTAAGAGGGAAAACATGAGAAATTTAAAGGTGCTGGGTCAGTGGGCTACAAGACAAGGTTTCTGCTCCTTGTCTAAATGGATAGAATTCATAGACATCTGCTTCCCGGAGTAGTTGGCACCATTATTGGATGTATCTAGAGAACCAAGAGGAAATGGAGAGATGGCAACAATTCTATGACTTAGATTCAGGACTTGGAGAATCCATAGTAGTGTTACTCAAAATAAGTTGATTTCCTGCATTCCCTGATAAATAAGTCACAAGCTTTCTGGGGCCTGCTAACACTGGTGGGAAATGTTGAATACATTCAAGTCTTGTGTGGGAAATCTACACTTTTCTGAATCAGTTCCCATAATCACTGGTGGCAGCTTAGCCCTGTTCAGTCAAGTGGGGTTGGGCATAGTATAACATGTCTCTTTAGGACTGGTCTCAATCCACAGAAATTGATGGAAAGGCATTCAGTTTCTTCTTTGAGGGTCATTCTCTCATCTTTCTGACCTCTGCTTTCCCAGATATTAGAGTATTATAGTGGATGCCACAGAGCTAAATTGTTGTGTAATCATTGGAGGCAGCTCCTCATCCCATGTTCATTCCTTATGTGCTTTTTTAAAAATCTCTGAGAAAGCATATGGACATAAGCCCACTTTTTGCAAATAACCTATAAAACTATGTGTCTGTTAAGTTATATATATACTGAAAATGCAACTGAAGTAAGTTTAAAAGATGAGTATAAAATAAATGTGATCAATGCAATTATGAAAATGTAAAATGGTTACTGGGATGGGGAGGGGAAAATTGGGCAATGACTCCTAATTTTGGTCTTTAAAATTGTGGTTTAGAGTCAAATTAAACAGGAACTATTCTATGTGTTTAAAATATATTAAGAATTTCCAACAATGCTCTTAACTCTGGAGTCTATATTAAAAGGAGGAAAGAAGAAGCTTAACAGAAAAGAACAGCTTGTTCTAAAATATCTAGTATTCCAAATTTTGCTAACAGATTCAACAGAAACCTAGATTCCAATAAATGTCTTTTTTTGGCAGGGAGGGCCTCCCTAGTGGCTCAGAGAGTAAAGCATCTGCCTACAATGTGGGAGACCCAGGTTCGATCCCTGGGTAGGGAAGATCCCCTGGAGAAGGAAATGGCAACTTTTTAAAAATATTCGTTGCCATGATTCCTGGGGATAATCACTAATTATAAGCCCTAAGTCCCTAATTACATGAAAAAGGAAAAAGTTAGGAGAAAACAGAAAAAAAAAAAAAAGGAAATAGCCATTATGCAAAAGTTAGGCCATTCAAGACATTCTCATTGGAAAGTTTCAGCTGAAAAAATTTCCTATTGGATTTTAACATTAAAACCACATAAGATATTTCTACTATTTAAGAAAATAGTTGTTGATACGATAAATGGAGAGAGAGCTAGAAATGCTTATATAGAGAGACTTCAAATGTCATCTAAACACTAACATAGTGTGAACAACTTTTTCTTTCTGCTTTTAATAATTAATTCATTATTTAAATTGAGTTTCCACTGTCACACATTTGAGGATAGAATCCAACAGGGTGTTGAGGTGAGCCACCCCCTGGCCCCCACCGAAAGATACACTGAAGTTTTAACCCCCACGTGCAGGAAAAACTCAGTTCTCCCATGTTCTCCTTTACTCACAACTACCACCACACTGACACTCCTCGCACTGGATATGTGGGGGGTTCCCCACACCAAGCCATTCTGTGATATTGCTTGGGGGTCATAATTCAACTGAATTCTGACTCTCTACCTGGGGATCAGATACCACAGGTGAAGGGCCCAAGTCCCAAAAGACTGCCCCTCATCCCTAACTTCAAATCCCAAGTCCAGGTGGTCACCTGTGCTTTGGTAGGTTGGCTCTAAATCAGAAGTTCCACCCCACCCCAGCTAGAGTTTGCTTGAGCAACTTGCTAGAGCAACTCACAGAACTCAGGGGAACAGTTTATTGTAAAAGGAAATTAGGGATACAAACATTCAGATGGAAGAGGTGTGTAGGACAGGAAGGGGCCTGGGGTTTCTGGGCCTGTCATTCACCCAGGAACTCCACTTGGAAGATCTCCAAACCCCATACTGTTGGGATTTTTATGGAGGCAGCAGCATCAAGCAGGCATGATCTATCCATGACCAACTCCATTTCTCAAACCTCTTGAGATCCACTCCAAAACATGGGAAGTAAATCCCTAAACAACTTACCTGGGATTTGTTCATTTTCGAAGAAAAGGGCCAAGAGTGATGACATCAGAGCTGGATAAGAAAGAATGAAGAATGGAATCATGAGACATCTAACACAGCAGCTCTTACTATTATCTACCAAGAAAATGGCCCTTTGACCCATCTGGTCTAGGAAATACAGGAAACAACACAGTGAGGGAATATCCACTTGTCAGAATTCTGAAATGATCACGTAGAACTTCTTTTTTTTTTTTTTTTTAAATTTATTTATTTATTTTTTTTATCACAACCATAGTGTATCTTTTTTTTTTTTTTTTTTACATGTATTCCCCATCCCGGTCCCCCCTCCCACCTCCCTCTCCACCCAATCCCTCTGGGTCTTCCCAGTGCACCAGGCCCGAGCACTTGTCTCATGCATCCAACCTGGGCTGGTGAACTGTTTCACCCTAGATAATATACGTGTTTCAATGCTGTTCTCTTGAAACATCCCACCCTCGCCTTCTCCCAGAGTCCACAAGTCTGTTCTATACATAGGAGTCTCTTTTTCTGTTTTGCACATAGGGTTATCGTTACCATCTTTCTAAATTCCATATATATGTGTTAGTATACTGTAATGGTCTTTATCTTTCTGGCTTACTTCGCTCTGTATAATGGGCTCCAGTTTCATCCATCTCATTAGAACTGATTCAAATGAATTCTTTTTAATGGCTGAGTAATATTCCATGGTGTATATGTACCACAGCTTCCTCATCCATTCATCTGCTGATGGGCATCTAGGTTGCTTCCATGTCCTGGCTATTATAAACAGTGCTGCGATGAACATTGGGGTGCATGTGTCTCTTTCAGATCTGGTTTCCTCGGTGTGTATGCCCAGAAGTGGGATTGCTGGGTCATATGGCAGTTCTATTTCCAGCTTTTTAAGAAATCTCCACACTGTTTTCCAAAGTGGCTGTACTAATTTGCATTCCCACCAACAGTGTAATAGGGTTCCCTTTCCTCCACACCCTCTCCAGCATTTATTGCTTGTAGACTTTTGGATAGCAGCCATCCTGACTGGTGTGTAATGGTACCTCATTGTGGTTTTGATTTGCATTTCTCTGATAATGAGTGATGTTGAGCATCTTTTCATGTGTTTGTTAGCCATCTGTATGTCTTCCTTGGAGAAATGTCTGTTTAGTTCTTTGGCCCATTTTTTGATTGGGTCATTTATTTTTCTGGAGTTGAGCTGGAGGAGTTGCTTGTATATTTTTGAGATTAATCCTTTGTCTGTTGCTTCGTTTGCTATTATTTTCTCCCAATCTGAGGGCTGTCTTTTCACCTTGCTTATAGTTTCCTTTGTTGTGCAAAAGCTTTTAAGTTTCATTAGGTCCCATTTGTTTATTTTTGCTTTTATTTCTAAAATTCTGGGATGTGGGTCATAGAGGATCCTGCTGTGATTTATGTCGGAGAGTGTTTTGCCTATGTTCTCCTCTAGGAGTTTTATAGTTTCTGGTCTTACATTTAGATCTTTAATCCATCTTGAGTTTATTTTTGTGTATGGTGTTAGAAAGTGTTCTAGTTTCATTCTTTTACAGGTGGTTGACCAGTTTTCCCAGCACCACTTGTTAAAGAGGTTGTCTTTTTTCCATTGTATATCCTTGCCTCCTTTGTCAAAGATAAGGTGACCATAGGTTCGTGGATTTATCTCTGGGCTTTCTATTCTGTTCCATTGATCTATATTTCTGTCTTTGTGCCAGTACCATACTGTCTTGATGACTGTGGCTTTGTAGTATAGTCTGAAGTCAGGCAGATTGATTCCTCCAGTTCCATTCTTCTTTCTCAGGATTACTTTGGCTATTCGAGGTTTTTTGTATTTCCATACAAATTGTGAAATTATTCGTTCTAGTTCTGTGAAAAATATCGTTGGTAGTTTGATAGGGATTGCATTGAATCTGTAGATTGCTTTGGGTAGTATAGCCATTTTGACAATATTGATTCTTCCAATCCATGAACACGGTATATTTCTCCATCTGTTTGTGTCCTCTTTGATTTCTTTCATCAGTGTTTTATAGTTTTCTATGTATAGGTCTTTTGTTTCTTTAGGTAGATATACTCCTAAGTATTTTATTCTTTTTGTTGCAATGGTGAATGGTATTGTTTCCTTAATTTCTCTTTCTGTTTTCTCATTGTTAGTGTATAGGAATGCAAGAGATTTCTGTGTGTTAATTTTATATCCTGCAACTTTACTGTATTCGTTGATTATCTCTAGT